TCTCTCTCTCTCTCACACACACACACTCTCTCTCACTCTTTCTCTCTCTCCATCTTCTCCTCTTACTCTCTTCAGGCCCTAATTCCGCCCCTCCCGCCTTTTTCCTCCTCTTTATCAACCCCCCTCATATTGGAAATGTAATACACGTTTTTTGTAGAGTTTTTTAAGACTTGGGCAATCATAAAAAAGCAATTGATAACACTGCATCCACCGGGAGCATTTAAACAACAAAAACGAACACAAAAAAACCCTCCCAATTTGCCAGTGTTTTATGTATAGTAGTCAAGCCCTTTAGCCGTTGCAGGCAGAACCCTGAGTCTGAATCGCAAGTGGGAAGATGAGGGGGGGGTGTTGGTTTGTTTGTTTTTTGTTGAGTTTGTTTGTGGGTTTGTTGTTTTGTTTTTGTTTTTGTTTTTTTTTTGGGGGGGGAGGGTGTATATTTGTTTGTATTGATGAAGGCGTGAAGACACCTACATTGGAAAAAAAATAATAAACTACTGCAACCAGAGGAGTACACCACATACCTTTGTGTTACTGAAGACATCTCGACGCCATTATCCACACACGTTTTTCCTATCAATTCCGGAATTTGTCCAACGCGCGAATCTCCACCGTCCCGAACAGGAATACACACCACAGAACTGTGTTCATGTTTCAGTCTGAGAGAGAGGTCCGTCGGTTTGAGACTGTTAAAATCAGACCTCACCAGAGCAGGCGGACTTCTGCTGTTGGTACAAGGACTGGAATTGTGTTGTCTGTTCGTGCGACTGCGGAGACTAGACACAGCTAGCTGGTTGTAATAAGGAGTGGAAACAGACTGAAATCGTGACGGGGATCTTGCTGTGGTTCGGGTTGTGGCGTTGACAGAAAAGGCGTTCCAAGATTGTTTCGCATTATCCGAAATGGCAATATTCCGAGGTGAATCTGAAAAAACACCACTACCAAAAACAAAACCACCACTACCATCAGAAGAACCACCACTTCTCTTCAACTTGCCGCTCGGAGAATTATTTATCGAGCGAGTTGTATCCACAGACGAGGCAGAAGAGTGATTTAAGGGTCGGCTCGTATCCAAAAATGTTGAAATGTCGCTGGAATTCCACGAGTGAGAGGAGGCGGAGAAAGGGCGGTTGCCGTTAGCTTTGTAAGTGGATGATGACACTGATGATGGTGATGATGGTGTTGTAGAGGTTGTCTCAAATTTCGGAGAGATCCCTCTGGACTTTGACGTCAGACAGAGAGGACTGTCGCACAAAGACGATTTTGTGGTTGTTGTTGTTGTTGTTGATGTTGTTATTGTGGGCGTTATAGATTTGATAGAGTTTTCAAAACCGCTGCTGCTGATGCTGTTGCAGCTGTTGTTGTTGCTGCTGCTAGTTTTGGCGTCAGGCCGAGACCAGGGGTCTGATGTATGCGACGCTTTGGACGGCAACGACGACGACGACGACGACGACGACGATAATGACAACGTTGAAGGGGAATTAGAAGAGGAGGAGGATGTGACGTTTGCCGCTGTATATAACAAAGAAGAGAAGCTATTGCAACTGCTTGCGGTTGTTGTTGCTGTTGTTGTTTCTGTTGTTGTGGCAGTCAGAGTAGAGCTGCTGATAGCGTCTCCAGTGTCTGAAGGACTGCACGCTCTCCACTTTCTGTTGGACAAACTGACACCATCTTCCACAACAACGTTGTTGCTGCTGTTGATGTTGTTATTACTGCTGCTGCTACTGCTGCTGGTGCTGACATTGTTTTTCGCGCCGCTGTTCGCCACTGACGTTGTCGCTGTAGCTGAGGACGCCGAGATTGTCGCTGATGTTGTTGATGAAGAGGGGTTCTGGGCGTAAGAATTTCTCTGTAGAATTTTTTGTTCCAGCCAGTTGTAGCGGGGCAGTTCTTGAAGGATGCGGGCGGCGCTAAACTGGTTCAGTTGCTCTGTTAGTGGGTCTGGAATACAAGCAAGGACAAATATAGTATTAGCTATCATCATATCTGTGAAATATAAGTGCATAAGTCAAGCAAAGATACGTACGTGTACGTACGTACGTACAAACACACACACACACACACACACACACACACACACACACACACACACACACA